CATCAGTAAGCAATGTAGCAGTAGCATAGCAGTAGGCAGTAGCAGTACAGTAGCAATAGTAAGTGTACGTCTATTTTATACGCGTTACATAATATCGAGTGAGATAGAACTGGGGGGTAAGTTTTTTATTTTAGCCAATATAGTCTAGCTAGACAGACCACGTCGCGCATGATTGGGCGGGCAGCATTGATGTTACGGGGAGTTGGTAAGCGGGACGTATCTAAGGGTTAGGCAAGTTTCTAGGGTGATTTGTGAAATGAGGGGAACGTGCTGGAAACTGGACAAGACGGGTGACATGTGGCGCGTCAAATTGTAAGGGATTTTGGCGAATATACGAGGGGAGATTCTGGGCTGTCGCGAGAGTACGCGCCACAGTGCGAACCGCGCGTGTGCGCGGGTCTTGTCGTTGTGCGATTCGTCTGATGAGGTGGCTACACCAGTGTAAGATTATTAAAAGTTATACAGTTTTACCACAACCAAGTTCTGGATTGTGGATCTTATTCATCATTGTCGAACATCAACGCTCATCCAACGTTAGCATTTGGTGCCGTCGACAGTCCAAACCTGGGTATCCGGCGGACACAACGGAAAAGTTACTTCATTATCGATCTACGGCCAGCTATACGAAACAAAGGGAAGAATGACGAGAAAGCGAAGGAGGAAGAAGCTGGAAGAAAAAAAGAGAATTAATATACTAGCAAACGATTCACGGGCCACGGCAAGCCACGGAAGATAACTGGAGAAGGAAGATTGGAGAAGGACAGAAGAACCAGATCGAGACGCGAGAAGGCGTGGAGAGAGAACGGTGATCAAAGGAAGATGTAGAGGAAGATATACGGGAGGCAGACTGGCTAGCGACGGATGAACCGATGGCGACGAGATCGGCCTGAAATACGTGGAGGAGGACCGTTGCGGCGCCGCGTCCGGATAGGTTGTCAGGCGGAGAGGAGAGGACGTGAAAAGGAAGAATAGAATTCCGACGTAAAGAAGAGAAAGATGCAGTACAGACCGAAAGGAACAAGAACGCGAGAGATAAACGCAGACGGAAATACTTAAAATGGGTATGTGAAATACAATCTTGTGTCGGCATTTATTGTGCGTACTTCAAAGTGAAAAACGGTTAGTTTATAAACCGTTAATACTCGAAGGGGTTTTTTCCTGTATAAAACACCCATGCAAGCATGCACCATACGTTTTATTTTTATCGCTGATACCTGTTTTAGTTCAAAAGTGCATGTTATGTTATGTCGATGCGTATATACTTGCCGAGGCCGAAATAAAACTTTGAATAAGGAACGCCGGACACAGTTAATTGTTCACAAGCTTACAATGTGACATTGTATGTATTGTATGTAGGTATGTATGTATGTATGTATGTTATGTATGTATGTAATGTATGTATGTATGTATGTATGTATGTATGTATGTTATGTATGTATGCTATGTATGTATGTTATGTATGTATGTATGTATTATGTATAGTTATGGTATGTATGTATGTATGTAATGTATGTATGTAGTGTATGTATATGTATGTATGTAATGTATGTATGATGTATGTATGTATGTAATGTATGTATGTATGTATGTATGTATGTATGTATGTTATGATATGTTATGTCATGTATGTATGTATGTATGTATGTATGTATGTGAATGTATGTATAGTATGTAATGTCATGTATGTATGTAATGTATGTAATGCTATGTATGTGATGTATGTATGTATGATATGTATGTATGTATGTATGTATGTATGTATGTATGTAAGTATGTATGTATGTATTGTAATGTTATGTATGTAATGTATGTAAGATGTATGTATGTATAGTAATGTTATTATGTATGTATGTATGTATGTATGTATGTATGTATGTATGTAGGTTTATGGTTGGTTATGAACATGCTGGTATTTTCTCAATGATATATTTTTTTTTTTGCTTCTAACGCCGTTTTTTTGCTGTGGAAAATCTTTGTTAGTGTTCCTCGCACGTGAAAGACATTCCCGCTCAGAACGAGGTCCAGTACACCCTCAGCAACATGATGCTTGGTGCAGGTAGCGTGTCGGTCCACCAGGGGGGCGCCCGCGCGGCGGCGGCGTGCCGCGCGGACCAGGGGGCGCCCTCGCGGCGGCGGCGTGTCGGCCACCAGGGGGCGCCCGCGCAGCAGCGACGTGCATGCGACCGAGAATGTATAGCGATGTCGTGCTCTCTGTGCGTTTGTGATGGTGTGTCGGAGTGTTCTCCAGGGGGTGCCACCAGTCTTAGCTTGCCGGCTTTCTGAATTCTGGCTCGCCCTGTCTCTGCGACTGCTTCCAAGTTGACAAGATTACCGTTGCAGAAAGACGGTGTTGAATGGCACCTCATGAGTTGAATAGAGACAATCTAGTCTACATGCCGATATTCTGCAATTGCTATCTTTACTCATGCTGCTGACCCTCCTTCACTGATGATTGAAAGCAACTATTTATCGAGTGATTAGACATTTGATGTGATGGCTACGTATACCTAACAACATGAGGCGCGCCAATGTTGGTCTTGCATCGTCATGTTTGTTTTCGCTCAGTCTGTGACCGTGTTCCCTGTGAACATGCTCTTGCCTGCAGTCGATTTTCTGTGATTTACCCACTGCCAGTTCGTGCACCTCCCCTTTCTTTTCTCTCCTCTCCTTCCCATTTTCCCTTCCCTTCCCTTCTCTTCCCTTTCTTTCCCTTCCCTTCTCTTCCCTTCCCTTTCCTTGCCTCCCATTTTCGCCCTTATTATCCTGTATGCTGTTTTCCCCTTCCTTTCCCTTACTTTTCCTTTGCTTCCTTCTACTGTTTTCATTCCTACACTCCTTCCTCTCCTCCCCTATCTTCACCCACCTCCTTTCTCCCTTGGTCTCTCCCCCCCTTCCATTCTTTCGCCTCTCCTCCCTTCTCTTCCATCTTTTCTTCACTTCGCTTCCTGTTACCTTTCATACCATCACATACCGGCTCATGATCATCTTCCAATCATTGCCCTTCCTCCTTGCAGCATTTATTGCCTAACGTGTGACCCCTACTTTGATAATACCTTCTGTATTGCATGCTGCCTGCAGATACAACAGTGCTCGGTATGTACTTGCACGTTTCTTTATCTTCGACTCTCTCGCTCTGGGTTGATGTAACGTTTATTGCGACCAGTGCGTGTTGCTCCAGTTATCCTCTCCCAGGAGATATGTTCATTTTAAAGATGCCGTCATGGATTTGGCGCCCTTTGCAAAATGCATATCTCACTGTCTGGTTTCTATTGTGTTTACAGAGTTTATTTTCCGTGTATCTGCTGTGTATTTTTCAGTGTTGAACTCATGTACCAGAGACGTGTCACGATCGATTATGAAATTGTTGAATCCTTGCATAATTTCAGCTCTGGTTTCTGCACTCAGACTCAATACTGGATCTGTTCAAGCAGAGCATTTGCTGTTTATCTCTACTCTGACATATTTTTGGCATGAAATCTTATCGTCTTTCTATCGGAGCAAACCGAATTGCCTTCCAATTGGCATGACCGCGTAATATGCTATCGCCATTTCTCGCTCTCAGCTATCTTTTGTTTGCTTCCATGGCAATTTACAGATGCCGTCTCAAACAAGCTGCAGCAGAATAACATCTTTACGATAGCGAAGCGAAACGTGGAGGGACAGGACATGCTCTATCAGTCTCTGAAGCTGACAAATGGCATCTGGGTGCTCACCGAGCTGAAAATTGCACCGGGCAACCCCAACTATACTGTGAGTTGCTGCTGGATATTGTAGAACTGAACCCACATGCATATACACGCCAGCACCCACACACACACACACGCCAGCACCCACACACACATACACGCCAGCACCCACACACACATACACGCCTGCACCCACACACACATACACACCAGCACCCACACACACATACACGCCAGCACCCACACACACATACACGCCTGCACCCACACACACATACACGCCTGCACTACAAACACATATACACGCGTGCACTTACACACACACATATACATGCCTGCACCCACACGCATACAGTCAAACCTATTTATAAGGGCCAATCAAAGGAAACCCCGAAATTGGTCTTTATAGGCAAGTGTGTGTTCTATAGAGGTGGGTTCACTGAATAACTGCCACAAGTGTTCTTTATAGACAGGTGTCTGTTCTATAGAAGTGTGTGCTAACATATGTTTGGCTGTGCATGGCAAACAACACAGTGCATGAAGCCATGTTTGTGTTTGCAAGTATGTGCTTTTTGAATGGCATGCATGAAATCTTTTTGTGTTATGCATCATCAGAGATATACTAGCAAGTGTAGTATATGTTAGGTGAATAAAAATGATTGCGAATGAAGCCAGTCAGAGAGGGCCTGGCTTATTTGACAGTAGATCTTGCATGCTCTACTTTAGCTTTCATGTTTTTCGAGCACATATTTACTTGTACTCTTATGCACTAGAATTAGCAAACCAATTTTAGATGCACGGATCTAATTCTTAAATCATCATTAAGCATCATTATTAAAAATAGCAAGCTAGACTGTTTGCTTAGTAGCTGGTAGCATAGCCCTTATCAACAGCATGCATCTTTTGGAAGGAATGCTAGACACTTCTTTTTTTAGTCTAGGGTTCTTATTACTTTTCTTCAGATTTACATGACACTTCGCTTCCATATGCAAATGGTATGTGCACAAACTAGCCTACACGTCTTTGTTTCGGCTTGTTATGCTTGTGGTATGCGAAGGTAACACCTTTACTGCATCTAAATCCTAATGCCGGCTTGCTCTGCTTTGCACTTACTCGACCTAACAACATCTTGCAGCTTGTGTTTGTGATGCGTTGTATCACTCTTTTTTATCACTGAATGGAGTGTCATGATGTTATTTGTGAAATAGCCATTTTGATTAAATATTGAATAAATGACTGATACCTCAATTCAGTGTCAGGTGACTGCTGGATAGTTACTGCAAAATATATTATATTATATTAAATAATAATTTTAATATTATTTATATACATTATTTGATAGTTTAATGAAAGTTCACCAACAGTGTCCAAGTCGGGCTTTAATTGACAGTGCTCCGTATTGTGTATTGCTTAGCCAGCCTATAGTGCTCAGCTTAACTGCGGATTAAGAATGGTGCTTGCTAATGTATCCCCCCCCCCCTCAACACCCACCTCCTGTTTCCCCTGATGAAATGTGCAAGGCTCTTCTACAGTGCAACCTGCATATCGGCCAAGTGCATCACATAGTTTTCTCGCTGTTGGTATTGCCACTTGCTGCTCTGCGTGGGGTCGTCTGGTGTGTCCGTCTTGTCTGTCTCTGCCGGGAAGTAGCGCAAAAACCACCGACTCACGCCAAACCGTGTTACTTTCTTTGCAGCTGTCACTGAAGTCCAGAGCCAGCGAGGTGGCCCCGACTGTGTACCAGGCGTTCGAGACCATTCTTCGGCAGCAGTAGAGAGGATGCGCACGATAGGGGAATAGATTTATGGGGAGCAGGATTCTGTCGAAGACACGCTGGGTGAGCGGGTTGGTTGGTGACGCTTCGACTTCTGCGGCGAGAATACGAAAGATGCGGACTACGGTGATCTAGTGCTTGCGCCTAATTGGTGTGTTTACACAAGACACCCACTGTGAATTAAATAGTTATGTTGAAGCCATACACGTGTAATCGCTGGTCTACAGAAGTGAATTAACGTTGTCTGTGAGAAAGCTTTACATAATTTCGAGCACCAAGCGTTACGTGTTTATTTCATTAGAGTGGCATGATGTAATTAAGACACGTGCGATTACGCTTCTGGGTTTAGTCAATGTATGAAGAAACTAGTAGGTTCCTTGGCTACAGTGTGTGCACATGTTTACAAAATTGTTTAATATTTTAACAATTCGAAATTGCAGCAATAATCTTTTAGTACAATGTGACTTCATGTAGGACGTCTCAGTGAACGACATGTTAGTATTCATTTATAATTATCTTCGTTTACTAAGATGTTTAGAATGGCAAAATAGACCTCCTAGCTAACTATACATAATCATTAGAACCATTTAAAATTGCCTAACATTATAAAGCAAATGTTACAGAACTTGTAAATTTGGTACAGTCTGTGGTCAGCAGGTTAATAATACCGTAAAAGGTAGTAGTTGCAAGAATCACGATGCAGGTACAGTAGCGCCTGAGAATTTATTCGGTGAACATTGTTATGTATATGACGTGTGTAATGAAATTTGTTCTGAGAAAATATAAATATCTGTATGTGAATCCTATTGAAGTTGTTAACATTAAGCATATACGCTACTTTCCGCACACAAAGTACAATACAATCAGAGTTATTACAATAACAGGGTCATTTCTAACTGTTAAGATAATATATTATTTATTTGCAAAATATTTCCCCTCTATGAATCCCTACTTTTTCCATTACAGCAATGTGTAAGGTAATATTGCCACTCACTATGCATCTATAAAAAAATTTCAACAACTATAGAAGTATCATAACATGATTATTGAAGTTGACTAGCTGCCAAATAAATCTTCAACATTATAAAGTCATTCTATCATTTTCCAAAAATATTTACACTAGATATAATATGTAACTGAGATCATCTAGACTGCATCTCACATATCAGATTCTACTTTCGATTTGTAATTCCCTGTACACAAGGATCCCAGCAGATGGCTGCAATTAACTAGGTTACATTATAATTTCCACATAATGAGCCTACTCGCTGCTATAAACGGAATGCCTACACTCTTCTTCTGGCTCACTCGAAACGGGATGTGTCCCTGCCATAGAACAAGGCCTTTATCCAGTCCATGGGAACCTGGAGTCTAAGTTTCCAGCTGCCTAGTCTGGTCAGATAGGCTGACCGCCACAGCACCCATGACATGACACCTAGCGAGAGAAATCATGGTGTTAATACAAAACGTCTATTAAAGGCAGCATTCGTAGACTAGAGCATTAATCAACCTACAACCTGACTGTGCAGTGCTCAATTGAACAGACTAATTGTACATGGTATGAGACTGACTAAACCGATTGTTTGTAGGAAAAGTGTCGCACGTTCCACTTGCTGGTAATTCTAATGATCCAGATGAGACGGGATACTAGAGAAGCGTTGCCGAAAGGAGATGTTGATCCGAAGCGCTTAAGCGCAGATCTTGCGCACAGTTCCGCGGCAAGGCGCACGCGACCGCGGGAACGTCCTACGACAGTATGCAGCGCTGGCAGCTATGGATCCGTGCGCCGAATGAATTGCCCGGCGCACAGATCCATAGCTGCCAGCGAACAGTCCGCAATTTTAGTGGGGGACACAGAGGGTAGACATTTGGGACGTGAACAGTGTTCACTTGTTATAAAAACATAATTTCTCTCTTCGTAACCGAGCTGTGTGACGCGAAATCACAGAAAGACTGACGAAATTCTCGCGTTCGCATTCGGTATTGCTAGGGTTAGAATACTGTATAGACAATCCGTCGCACAGCCTGGTCGGGCTAAGATTCGACATAACATGGGTACCGACCACCGCCCGGTATGTAAACAAATTTGGAAAGCTGCATCTACGCTTGTTACATATACTTATTTATAGTCGTTAGTCTGCCCATAACAAAATTCGACTTTCCTTTTAATTAGATGACCTTCCGATGAAAAAAATTTCAGTTGCGGCTCGTCATTATTTAACGAATCAAACGACGAACAATAAGAAACTTTTCCATGTTTATAACATAGACGCCATGCTATCATCTATGTGCATATAGACTGGTACCCGGTCGACAGTTCCACACGCTACACTACGTGAGTGTAGCGATATGCCGGAGTAAAGGTGGCGAACGGGTACCAGTCTACTATAGCCTCGGCGTTCGTTGCGCCGTCTATCGCACGCCATATGTATTACACTCATCAACAGAAACAAACAAAGAAGAAAGTGCAAATCAGTTTTTTACAGCAAAACGAGCGCGCCGAGTCGCCAAAAAAGTTATACGAGCATTTCAAGCAAGTCTCAAGTTACATGGGTAGTGAAATCCGTCGTCCAATCGCCAGAACTGCTCAACTCAACGATTATACGGCTTTGGCGTATACACGGGCCCGTTGAAGTAAATTCAGATAGTCAGCGATGTTGTGAAAGCTTGCCGCGAGGCGGCGTTTGCGCGCTTCGCGCGGATATCCGGCTGCAGATTGTCTAGAGAAATGTTGCATCATACTTGCCTTTCAGTTTTGCTTCTGGCGTGTCAGTTAACGCACGATACCCACCGATGTACGTCAGCATGCCCATGTTCTTAAATTTGAAGGGCGATACTTTCTCAGGTGTCTTGCAAAGGGATCCGGCCAGGTACCTGCCCTGTCGTTCTGCAACCTGGTATCAGAGAGAGGGCACGGTCACACACCTACAGTGTCTAGTATTTATTGAGGGATGGAGCAGAACGTGAGCACTAAGACTGAAAATTTTTCAAGAACTCGTGTAAGACAAAATATTTCGGTTTGCTTGCTTCCCGTGACTTAGCACATACCTGAGCTGTGCAGGGTAGATGTAAACCTTCAATATCTGAGCAGTCACCAATCGCATACACATCACCAGTCGAATCACCAGTCAATCTCAAGTAGTTGTCTACTAAAATCTTAAAGCAAAAACCACAGACTGCACTATAGTAATTGTTATGCTGAGCGTGCTGAAGTAATACCTAAACGAGTACATTTAGACAAAATACACCTGATATTGTTAAAGTTTTCTGTACTCTTACCTGTTCTTGCTTGTTTTTTGGCACACTCAGGGCCTTGGTGAATTTTCGCTGAGCGATCCCTGTGCTCCACACGACGAGCCCACATGGTATCTCTGATCCATCCTTTAGAATCACGCCGTCTTTTCTCACCTCTATGAAAATGCAAGCGCGGGATATTCATGGTTATTATAGGCCCAATTATTTACACGTGTATATGCGCCACACGTGTACATTTATTTTAGCATTCAGTGTACCAACAAAATAAGCATCGTCGTTCATTCTCGACTCACACATCGTCACTACCTGACCTGCGACAACCGCTTGTAAAAGGTTGAAGCGGTCCCTCTCTCGGATTTTCTTCTCTGCGTACTTCCGCAATCGTGCGTCAAACATGCTGAGAATCTGCGACGCTTCGATCAGCGTCACGTTGACCTGCTTGGCCTGCTCCCCATAGAGTCTGCTCACGTCCTGCAGATAAATGAAACTTAACTGCCACACTTGAGCCAGTAGAAGAGGTGTATCATAGCATAACAGGAGACAAGTCTCAAACGGAGGATTCAGATAATGGTGTAGGTAGGGGGGCCAAAGGCCATGGCCCCCCCTGTTGATCCAAAAGTAAAAATAAAAATAAAAATAAGAACTACTAAAAAGAGAATTGTCGTTGTCAGAATTATTGCTGTACATGTACTCAAAAGTGCCTCAAATACCATCTCCTGCGATCTACATTTTCAAATTTTTACCCCCCCCCCGCCTGTGTTATTTTCACCCCCCTCCTCGTAATCCTGGATCCGACACTGAACAGTTACATATCTAGGGAGCAGAGAACAACGAACACAAATGTCACCTTTTTGCATGGCACCCAAAACAAAGATTGCAGAGCTGAGAGGCGGGGGAGCATAGAGTGTGGAGAGGGAAGCGGAGGAACCATGAAATATCTCATCCACTATTTTGCACAGTTCGCTGTTTTTGGCCCCCTCTGTTAAAAATGCAACTGGATTCAGACACAATATTATACAACATGGTCGAGGTATGAAACCGCGTCGGGAGCCCGCTGTCAAAAACGTAAATAGTTGTGCATATAACAAGTCTAAAACGTCATCATTTTTGCACACCTCTTCACTCCAAAAGTTATTAAATGTTTTAGACTTAAGTTATCATAACTGTTTATGTTTCTTAAAACTGCCCCCTACCCCCACTACCAGGGTATTAGCCAGGAATGAGTATTGTGGGAGTGCAGAAAAAATATTTGGGAGTGCAATTTTACAAATGTACACGGCTTTAGATCAATATTTTAGGCCGTGCTACACATTTTTGGCCATGCAGTTTCAAAACTAACCGTGCAAATCATGGCTGCACGACTCGCTGGCTAATACGTTGCCCACTGCATCTTCATGTACCTGGCGCACAAAGTCGTAGAGCTCCGCTCCGAATTCCACCCCTGTCGGGCCTCCGCCAACAATGACAGTGCTCAGCAGACGCTTCTGCTCAGCAGTACGAATTCCCGGCTCGAGCGCCATCTCAAAGTTTGCGAGAATGCGATTGCGGATCTTTCGCGCGTCGCTGATCTCCTGCAAATACGCTCCGGATGACGATGCTACCGAATAATACCGTGAAACTGTAGATACATGCAAGCCTGTGTCAGCGGCCACTTCCATAGAATGGCCATTGGCCACCTGTCTATAAAGGCCACATTTAGTGTTTCCTTTGAGTGGCAGTTATACAGTAAAACAACCGCTATAGAATGGAAACTTGTCAGCAGCTATGGATATATACTCAACAGACTCCTCAGGAACTATACATATATATATGATTATGAATGTGATAATGATTAAATGCTCTTACATGAGTCAGATGATTCTAATTGAATACTAAAAGCCATATCTTGGAATATGGTCCTTGGATTTCATGATAATGATAGGACTAATTTTATTTTAAGATAAATGCAAACTTATTGACTCGTCAGACAATTTCAACATGTTGTCACCTTCTCTTCTGCGATCTGGTGACAAGCACAAGCAATTTTATTCAGCTAGAAAAATACAGCTAGACTGGTGGTCAAAACTGTCATTTATAGCATGGCAATATATTTTTATTTATCTTAAAATTCAATTACCCTTAATACTCAAATACCTTTAGAAATATCGCGTGTTCCTCAACTCCAGGGATGTTGAATGTATTGGCAACAGCACCGACTCCAATGACTAGCTTGTCATAGGAAATATCGTACGCATTGTCCGACAATGTGCTCTGGCATTTGACTATTTTGTTTGCCATGTCAAGGCTCACGGCTTTAGCCAAGTGGAAATGGTGAGCATTGCGAAATATTGTGTCCCTTACTGGCTCAATAACTGATCTGTTCAAAATGAAGAAAGCATTAAGTAATGTTAGTTATAGTGTACTATAGCAACTACAAAAGTCAGTGCTACATGACAACTAAAAAAGGAATTATTTTACATATGGCTCCATACCTTCATTGCCAACAGATGTGCTTATTTTTATACCAAACCAGTTTTTAGGTACATATATAGAAAGATGTTACCATGAACATGTCTAGACAATGTTGTCAAGATACGTTTCGAAGTTTAAAATTACAAGCTCACCTGAACTCTAACGTGCCTACGGTCGTACTAGCCAGCAAGGGAGTGAACAAGAAATGGTTTCTGGGGCTGACGACAACAACATCGTACATGCTCTTGTCGATGTGTCTCAGCACACTGTAGCTTCCCCAGCCAGTGCCAAGAATGACCAGCTGTGGACGTTGAGTGGTCGCCTCTGCATAGCTGCCACTCATTGAGCCACTCATTCTTATCGCCAGCGTGCTTAAACCCTGCTTCCTCATCATGGTAATTAGAAATGGTCAAAGCGGCCAGATTTTAATCTCCCTATGTGCTGCGTGGTCCCATCCTGAATAAAAATATGCGGTCATTTTGTACATCTCGGACTTTGCCATGACCTGATACCGACTGAGTACAGCCTGTACTGTAGTAGTACTGTACAGTGTACTACACTACATACAGTACTAATAGCCACACCAAGCGATTAGTACAGTACCAGACAATTAAGACAAGTACACCTTACAGGACGACATGGAGTGAGAGAGTAACTCCACAGGCACTTGGAGCGTTTCAATAAAATATAATGCTAAATAAATACGAAATCTATTTACTACCAAAGACTTAATGTTTCTATACTCTCTTTCACCTATTATTGCCGACAATTTCCTGTAAATGCCATCCAAATGCTCATCTGCAACAAACACTGGCTGCCGCCATTGCTGCTGCTGCACACTGACACATAAATATATAGCAGGTAGGAAAGCGTGCTGCCAAAATTCGCTCGACGCTCGCTTGATTTCACACGAATACAACACAAATATTCAATCATTCTACTCCATCTTTGTTTCTATTTGAAGAACAGTGTTCACTTGTTATCAAAACATACTATCTGTGTTCATAACCGAGCTGTGTCACGCAAAATCACACAAAGCCTGACGAAATTCTCGCGTTCGCTCCCGTTGCGCAGTTTATGTAAATGGCTGTCAGAATCAGGAAACACCCACCGGCGCTCTTCGTGACCTCATTGTTGCACCGCAACGCTGCAACGTTTTTGCAACGCTCCACTGGCGGCTTTGACGAGGCTCGTACGAGAGTTGGAAAGCTCAGCGTGGTAGTTTCCCAAAATGCAGTGCGCCGCCTATAGAGGGTTCCGCGATTTTTCATATTACCCACAATGCAACGCCGCCGGCCATGTCAGATACAGAAAGCAGCTCAGGCATGTTACAAGTAGATTGAGCAACGTACTGTTCTCTGCTCATTTTATTCGCCTATTAAACAAATCCCTCACTATGCCGATCTCCTGCGGTGTTGTCAATTGCAGCAATAGGTATCCGAGAGAGTCACACGGCTTTTTTAGGCTGGCTAGTGTGATCTCAAAACAAGCTGAACTGACGCACCACGGAACCGGTACCACAACATTGACTGAGATTGTTCCTTGGTAGCCGACTCGACACAAGTCACTTCTTCCTGTGTGACACCGACTTTGGGATGAAGTGTCTTGCAGTGAAGCAGCAGGTCTGCGTGTGATAGGCCTTCACAATTTGTGTCGTGCAGCTCGCTCAATACAGTTGGGAACTTGGGCTGCAGAGACTGTGGGAAATAATCTTGGTTGTAGCGTCTGTCCACTGCAAGGCAAGCTGGCTTATCAACCTTGATCACGTTAAAAAACAGTTCCCATTTAGTTGCAGATGGCTTGTTTACAGGCTTCTTGGCTGGTGTCTTCGCAGGGGTCTTGGCTGGTGTCTTCGCAGGGGTTTTGGCTGGTATCTTCGCAGGGGTTTTGGCTGAAGGTCGAACTGGTGTCTCGGCAGGTGTCTGGTCTGATGTGATGGCAGGTTTCTTCGCAGGTGTCTCGGCAGGTGTCTTAGCTGGGCCAGCTTGTTTGTCCATACATTTATCCAATCGCTTCTTCAGCCCCCTGGCAGATGTGAAGTCAATGTCTGTCAGCTGTGCATACAGCTGCATACTGTCAGCGGTAGCTGTCCACACCTGTACGTGAAGCTGGCATCCAGTAGGCAGCTGTTTGAGTGGGTGTGGTGGTTTCCCTTGCACGTGCAGCGTACTCTACGTAGAATAGCACCGAGGCAACGTGTGAACAAGATTCACCAAACCCGGCTTTACAATTACAGTGCGCTGACATGACTGTTCCATTTTCTCTCATCATAACCCACGGATGGAGAGACGGTATATTCATAGACTGGGAGTGCATAACACGTGCTCGGAAAAAGTAGATGGGGCACTCATTGTTCACATCATAGATGTAGACAGATACACCTCTCACCCAACCGCAGACCAGTCGATCGTAGGCATCCAGGCTTTTGTGGTTTTGAAAGTCCTTGAGAGTATAAAATGGACTCGGCTGGAACGTTAGGTAGTTCACGAGATCCAAATAGGTGTGTTATGCAGGGATGAGATTAGATAATTTAATTTTCAGCTGAAATTTTAATTAGCAAACAGAGGAGCGAGGAATGCGAGGACCGTAGGTCATCGCCATGCTAGGGGGGTCCGGGGGCATGCTCCCCCGGAATTTGTTTAAAAGAATGGTGCAATTTGGTGCATTCTAAGCTATTCTGAACAAATTATAGGAGACTCTTGAATCACCTTTTCAAGTTGTCAAAAGGAACAAACGAACTATAATAGGAAATCGGGGGGGGGGGCTGAAAATAGGGCAAGTTTTTTTATTAAATGTCTAGACATAATGATATTTTTCTGTTTCCACCCGTCGCTTGCATTGTTTTACTCAGACATAAGCTGCCTTGCTGCGACCAGATTTGAATGAAAAAAACACAATGCGAATGGAACAATCAGTGCATAGTCATGCACACAACATGCACGCAGCAACATGTAAACCCGGCCCCCAAGCCAGGCATGGTCGTTACGTGATCAGCTACCTCAAATGTTTGCCCCTCTACTGCAGCCTGTGAACGAGGATTTTCTTTTCTGGTACGCAAAAACAGATACTGTATACTTCGCTGTCAGCCTACTGTCTACACTCTACAGTCTACAGTCAGGTGCTGTTGAGGGTATATAATTTAAATTGTTACATTGTTACCCCCTCCCAATTTTCTCAACGAATTTAGACGTTTCACAAAATCGACCCCTGGGACTGTCAAATCCGCGGATTTCCGTGGATCCGCGGAAAAATCTCATCCCTGGTTATGGGAACATATTGTGGTCCTCACTCCATTCGGCATTGTCTATTTGGTACGGGTCTCGATTCCCAATGCACGCAATTTTCTCTAGATAGCGTGCTTTGGCTACATTGTCTAGTGAATCCATGTACTTATCCATACTACGTACACTACAGACAGTCGACAAACGTGCATACACTAGCTATTATAAAAAGCTGCGTTTGATAGCTAGAGTAGATGCGGTAACATCGGTGAAATTTCTGAACTCTCACGATGTAAACAAACTCAAGTCTATGAAAATATATGTGTTGCGTGCAATCTTCCGATCTGCTCAATCTACGAATCTGCCGACTGTGTGGCAGCCTCATTGAACTACAGCACCTAAAACCCACGCTGATAAACCTGTCTGGTAAATCGGGATCCTCTTACTTCTAATATCTATTGCAATAATAACATTATAGCCAATGTAAAATCGGTTGATTGTGCAGAGTGGCACATTATACGTGATGCGTGTTCGCTCTATTTGTAACCGGTATGGCCGGCGGCACGGGATTGTAGGTAATATTGCTATTTTTAGACCAAGTCGCGGAACCCTCTATAGCCCTGTACTTGCAGCCATTTAGATGCAAGATGCAAGATACATGCAAATGCTTAGATGATTATTTTATTTGAGATATACGTAATTGTTAGGCGGTTTTTGTAGAGGTACAAGATTATCCAATGTATGGATGTCAGGCTGTGTATATTGACGTTAGTCACACAGCCTGGTCGAGTTAGGGTTAATAATTAATAAATATTAATCACAAACACTGTTAGTGTTACGAAGTGAGTGCTGACAATGTCTCACAGTATAGCCAGATGGCGCTACGCGGTCTATCGGCGTTTCGGGCGTATCAGTGGAACATCGTCAGCACTCTCGTAGTTCTGGTACAGGGTACGTATCGCCTTTTCTGTTTGACACTGTGACGTACGCATCCCAATGCGCATACGCGATCGCAAACACCAGCGCCCTCCGATGGTCGGTGAATCCGCTCTTCAAGCCGAAGTACTTCAAAGGTCAACAGAAATGGCGCTCAATATATCCGCCGCTCGTAACTTCGAATTTTTGTAACAGTATATTAGTTTTATACAGAGTATGTGATACATAGTACTTTCCAGGATAGCGAGAAAGGTTCGTGTTTATAATAAACCCAGTTCTGGAAGTTCTAGTCTCTGAAACGCACGCACGCAACCGCCCGAGCATGATCACTCATGGGTCCTCCACAGAAAACCATAGACTGCGTTGTACTCTATCCTGAGTTTGGGTTTACATTATTTGTACTCTAAGCTGCACCAATATTCTATACGAGCAATGCAAGCATGATAAATACGTGGCAATACGCAAAGAATTAAGTCAGCCGCAAATGCCAGTCCCTTGTCGACATGGTTTCACACGCTGTAGCTGAGCCCTTTAGGATGCACAGGATAATGGTAGTTGTCTGTCTTCACACAAAAGGGGCAGTGCAGTATGTGGACATTCTTATTGGGGGCAGTTAGGGATCTATACACTGATTGGGCTGTAGCTTTCTCTGTACCCAGGATCCTCACACTGGAATTGCCTGCAACCACAATATATCAGATTAAACCATATCATTACTATTAGTATTGTAATACTAATAGTAATTAGGGGCGGCAAATACCATTTCCTAACCGATGCAATTATGGCGGACATCCCGACTCCGAACCTCTGCCTGCGCCCGCCTGCTACTGTTCTGTAATGGGGCGCATTGTACACAGCTGTTAACGCCCCCCCTCCCCCTCCCCCCGCACACATCATAATCCCCGGGCGATCTATATGAGGAATACGTTTTCTAGATTTTCGCATGCATAATGATACATGTTATAGCTATATCATGTGAGTTTTCAAGTAATTGACGT